CGTGTACGAGAATATGCTCACCTTTCAGTCCCGAGTTCACTAAGGTATTCAATGGATACCAAAACATAGGCACATCTGCTATAGGCAACAGGAATTTGAACATCGTATCGCACAATTCTGTCATACGACTACCCGTACCACCACATAACAAAACAGCTTGCAATTCAGCCATCCTGAAAGATAAAAAAACAGTGCAAACAACTGCGAAGACTGAGAGGGAAACCATTGTTCATTTCCATCCCTACAGGCATGGGTTGGAATGATGCAATTCAGCACTCGAACATGAGCTGCTGTAATTGCATCATAAAGCCCGCAATTTCTAAAACTTCAAATGATAACCATCTGAAAGCAAATGATCATAGAAAGTGGAAAATTGTAAGCAGTTTTCCTTCTCGGCATTCAACGATTGACGAAGTCAAAAACTAATTTAGATAAAGCAAAAATAACATGACTGACTATGCTGATCTTCAAGACCTTTACATGACTTCTAAAAATATGGGTGAAAAGAAGAAATCGCGAATAAAAAAAGGGAAACTTTGAAGATGAAATGCAAAAATTGGATCTTTTTCAAAGTAAATGGGTAGTTACACTAGGAAGGTTCGAGCTTCCAAGTCATTTTGAGTTTGTAAAACCAAAATCTAGAACAACACCTATTTAGGGATAAGTAGAGACAGTGCTTGAATGAAAAGTTTGCTGGTTTACGAGATATAATCAGTCGCTACATAGTGTGCAAATATACTTCAGAACGCATGGTGCTCTACATTTCGAATCAAATTCAAGAGCATCCACCCTGCAGACCCCACCCTCCCAACAAAATGCTGCGCTTTTTGAGTTTATTGTGCAAATACACAAAACACACCAATTTGCGAAAATGCTGTTGATAGTCGTGGAAAGTATGAGTTAAGTTCCACTTTGTTTTCCAAACTTGGCCAACTAAATTTTTTTGCTGTTGTACGAAGTATATTGCTTGACAATTGAAACAAGTGGACATTTAATGGAAAAAAAATTATCTAATCCTGGTCGTAAAAGAATTTATTAGAATAATTCAACAAACAGTAAAACACAGTGAAATAAATAAAAATGTAGCTTGAAGATGCGCCGTAGCAAAAACCGG